ATATATATATATACATATATATATATATATATATGTATATATATAAATATATATATATATATATATATATATGTATATATATATATATATATATATATATATATATATATATATATATATCAGGCTTGGTCGGGAAGCGGGAGCGATCGCTCTCGATTGCTGACCACGTAAATAATATTTAGTTGCGAAAAGCTGGCCAGATTTTTTAGTCATTTTGAGAACATTTTTAAAAGCAAAAAAAAAAAAAAAGCGACGAAGATTAATTGGACCGACGAGAGACAATTACAAAAAAAAAAAGTAGGCAAATAAAATATCTTTAAACGCGAAAAAATTTAAAGCTAAATAAATTACATTTAAAACAAATATTTTCGAAACATCGCTCTTTTATAATTTTTTTTATAAAATTAAGCAATGTTTTTTATAGAAACATCAACTTTTTATAGAAACATACAACCGTCAACTTAAAAGATTGTTTAAAAGGAAAACAAATATTCTTTATTTAACTAAGTTTGCAAGTTTTAGTTTTACTTAAGCTTAATTTATTTTATAAATAAAAAAGTTAACTTTTTCAATACCTATTTTATGTTTCGCGTAGTTTGAAAAGTTTAACATATTTAAAGCGATTCTTCTTAGTAAGATAAACAAATGAAATAATTAGATCATTGAATTACTATAAGAATTAAATTATCAAGATAGAAATCAACTAAAAAGGTTTAAAATACTTAATGACCAGGAAGCGAAACTGCTTCACAATATCGCTGATGATGTTTAGTGAGTGGGCTTTTAAATTTTAATTAGTGTTTAAAGCAGAAAAAAGTATAACGAGTTTTAAGAATGGCAACTAAAGCAAAAATAATTAGAGTTAGTTAATCAATATCTAGAAATTTTTCTTTATATCTAATTATTTGCTATATATATTTGTGTTCTGTCGTGACCTCTGGCGCGATGCTTGTTCATCCGCGAGTTACTTTGTATGCGTTGTTTGTGTTTAGTAACCAGAAACTTCTTATATGTTTGTTACATAATTAGTTTTATTAACTTTAACAATTAAAACTTCATTAAAAACACAATTATTTTTGTAAGTCTTTCTTTAAATCATAAAAATTGCTTTAAAAGATACATTACGATAAAAAATAAATACACAAAATTACATTTACTTAAAGAATACAATCTCTTTTAAAATAAAAAATAAGAATATACTAATAAAATCTATGATTTAACTAATATATATTTAAAACATTTATTTTCGTAAACAAATAATATAAATTCTTAAAACAATGCTAAAAATCTCAAAACGTAACAAATCGTGAATAATACAATTTCTAAAACATTTTAACAATATACTCTAGAACTTTATTTCACTTAATCAGCGTATTTTTTGAACCAATAGAATTAATTTGTTCGTTAATTTGACGGGTTTTTAGTGTTTGCAAACATTCTTTTTATTCTTTTGCACAAAGATGTTTTAAGAACATTCAAGTTTTTTATGTTTCCATGTATGTCCGTAAAACAAAAATTTTTTGTTTCGTACATAAACTTAAATGTTCTCAAAACGACCAAAAAACCTGGCCAGTTTTAACGCAACTAAATATAATTTCCGTGGTCAGTATTCGAGAGCGATCGCTCCCGCTTCCCGACCAAGCCTGATATATATATATATATATATATATATATATATATATATATATATATATATATATACGATTTATGAAATTTTAGTATAAGCATTTTCTGGCAAGAACTTATTTTGGGAGGTCAAAATAGCAATCTTAGTCATTTCAGGCAGTTTTTATATAATAAGCGTTTTAAGAATTGCCACAAAATAAAAATATAAGAAGCTAGAGAAATAAATCAGCAATACTTGAAGAAAAGAACTGAAGACTATACAAAATAGAAAATCTAAATAAAATAAGCAAAAAAAAAATTATAATAAAAAAAAAGAAAATTGTTGTAAAAAAAAATGATAAAAATAAATATTTATCGTTTTTTTCTTATTTTTAGAGCGTTTGTTGTTTTTCAGTACCAAATTGATACAAGTCGAGGAAAAAAGTAGATAAGAATATAACAAAAATAAAAATATTTTTTGATATACAATTTATTTGCGACTTTTTTCAGTCAGTAAATAAAGGAACTACTTTATAGATTGCACTAGAAACACTGACAGTTTTAAAATTTGTTTTTCAAATGTATTTGCTAAACTTTACTGTTTTCATCAATGGACAGGAAAATGACAAAACTAGTTGCTATTTATTTGTGAAGTTTTTTTTTTTTTAAAGTTTTTTATGTAAAAAAACAAAACGATGCTGCAAATTTTTGTGGGCTAGTGCATTGTTAGTTTACTGAACTTTCTTAACGCAATTTTTAGGAGACTATTTAAAACTTTTGTTTAAGTTTTTAAATACATTTTTTTAAACAGAGTAATCGCTATGTTCATAATCTCTAGTAATTCGTATTAACATTGGATATTGGGCAATTTAAAAAAAACAATTTAATACATGCATCAAATGTGATAAATCAGGCTTTTACAGGAAGACGTGCGATTTCACGTCTTAATATGACCACGCAAGTTACATTTAGCTATGACGGTTTGACCGCGGCTAGTTCAAAAAACATTTTAGAAATGCGCTAAATAAAAAATATTCTAAAAAAGTGAAATTAATTACATCAAAACTTCTTAACAAATGTTTTTATATTAGCGAAACGATTTTAAATAAAATAACAATTGACTGAAAAAAAGTTTTGTTTTTTAAATATAATTGACAGTTGTATATATATATTTTTTAATTTAAAACATGAATTGTTTAAGTGTTCATTTCTAAAATAAATCTTATTAAAAAATAAAAAATTGTTTTGTTTTTATAAACGATGACATTCTACGACTACGAAAGTCTCTTTAACAAATTTAAATATAAGAATGATTAAAGTTAATGCATTTAAAAAGATAAACAAAATTGCATTAAAAAAAATGGCTTGATCTTAAATGCTTTTATATTATCAAAACGCTTTTAATGAAATAAAAAAAAAACAATTCTAATTAATTTTACAAAAAGTATTAATAAAATATTTTTTCATTTTATTTATATAACTATGTATTTTTTATGAGGAATATTTAACTTTTGAACATAATAAAGAAATAAAAAATATATAAAAATGTTGAAACAAAGATTGAAAAGGTTTTTTAATGCGTAAATTAAATAGACTAAGCATTTTAGTTTGATGAGTTTTGTTTTAGTTGCGTTATATATATTTATTTTTTTTTTTGTGTTTTTGCTTTAACTAAGTATTTTTTTTATTTTCTCTTTTGTTAATATTTATTATTTTTTTAAATTTTTTTTTTCAGATAAGTTTAGATAAGTTTTTGTAGCGCGTTTTTAAATTTTAAAAATATGCCGTGGTCAAATCGTTAAAACATTTTTTTTTTTTTGCGTGGTCATATGAAGACGTGAAATCACACGTCTTCCTGTGAAAGCCTGTAAATGCATTTATTAAAGAAACTATGTAATTCTTTTATTCGTCATTAACAAAATTTATTAATCAAATAACATTTTTTTTTACAAATAAATAACAATTTATTTTATTATTTTCCTATTATATAAGAGAAAAACGTCAAATATAGCAAAAAAAAATTTTGAAAGTGAAAAAATGTAAAAATGAATAAACAAATGTAACAAAATAAATAAACAAATAAAACGAATAAACAAATATAATATAAGCAAATAAACATAATAAACAAAATTAACGTAAGAAAAAAAATTAACAAAATTTCTTATAGTTCTAGCAAACATAACAAATTAGTTTTTTAACTATATGTACTGATAAAAGTTGCATATAAATGATTGAATAAAAATTTTATAAAAAATTTTTTTTTTTCAATTTACTTTTTTTAATTAATAAATTTTCTAGTTTATTTATTTAAACTTAATATTTCTTTACAATTTTGTTTCCTTATTTCAGAATTATTATATTTTTCTTAGTAAATCAGTTTAGCTTTTTGCTGAGAATTATTGAAACGCTTTATAAGTTAAAAGATGTGAACTGCGGTGGTCAGTTTATATATATATATATATATATATATATATATATATATATATATATATATATATATATATATATATATATATATATATATATATATATATATATATATATATATATATATATATATATATATATATATATATATATATATATAGCGCCTTGTTTTGAATACTTTCTGCATAATCTTTATATTAATTTTAAAATCATAAAATTCTCTTTATTCTGACCCCCTAAATGTCTTATATACATTAAAATAACACTAGATTTAAAAATTAAAAAATATTTTCAGGGGTCTCTCTAGACTATAGAATTTTAGAAAAATGTTTTTTAAAAATCATGTTGGGTCTCGTATGAAGGCAAATTATTCAAAAGGTGCAATAATCGTTTTTATATAAAATATAATTTTAGGTTTGACTGCATAAAAATGACATTTAAAAAAACCTAAAACAAGTTTTTTTGTTTATAATTTTTTTTCAATGTGTTTTTTATGAAGTTATTTAATATGTATGTATGTATGTATGTATGTATGTATGTTTGTTTGTTTGTTTGCATACATGGTGTTAGCCAGGAATATATTTTTACCACATTTATTATTGTTTTTTTGATATGTTTTATTTTTATTATTGTATATTACAATATTTGATATATTAGTGTTTATAATATATTGTTTTATTTCATTTTTTTAATAATTTGAACATAAAATTGTGTTTAAATTTTGGTTTTATTAAAGCTAAAAATTAATTATTTTTTATTATTTTTACTTCTTTTGTTTTAAATTTTGTTGTTGTAGTTGTTGTTGTAAAAATAAAAAAATCTGGTTACAAAAATTTTATTGATTTTATGCTTTTTAGATAAAAATTGAAATTGTATTGTAAAGTGTTTTTTAAATTAGGTTTTTCAAGTCAGAAAAAAAACTGGTAGAGATGCTGGTTCAATATTTGCCATGAAAGTATTAAAAAAGGTCTTAATTTTTTATTTTTTTTTTTGTTTCAAATATAACAGGGTGTCCACCCTGTTGGAAAAACTGGAAAAAAGCCTGTTTTTTAAAAACACTGGAAAAACTGGAAAATTATTACTTTAGGCAACATTGATGCTGGAAAAACAGGAATTTTTTTTGTTTAATTGCTGTTAAGTAGCTTAATTTGTGTTTAGTTATTGACTTTTGAAGGTTATTTTAAATCTTACTGATAATATTTATTTATTATTATTATATTTTTAATTTAGATTAGTATTGTTATTTTAGTTAGTATAAATATGGAATTAGTTAAAAAAGTGAAGCATCAAAGACGATTTAAAGATGAATGGTTGAGTAATAACTTTAAAGGTTGGCTAAAGAAAGATCTTAAAGATGATACTAAAGCAAGATGTGTGGTTTGCCACAGGTCAATAGAACTCTTCAGGTGGGCACTCTGCCTTGACAGATCACTATATAATTTAAAAAAGTTAAAGGATTCTTTGCAAAACCAAGAGAAAAATTTTTTACCATCTGTCTTTTCTGACTCTAATCAGTCAATTACAGAAAAACAAAAGACATTAGATTCGTGTGTCAAAAAACTAGATGTTACTAAGGCTGAAATTATTTTGTAGCTTAAAAATGTGGATAGTGGTTTTTCTCGACATTCAAATGATGACTTTGCCCATGTTTTTACAACTATGACTCCGGACAGTGCCATAGCTTTACAATTTCAGAAGGGTCAAAGCAAAACTTAATACAAATTAAATCATGGTTTATCTTCTTATTTTAAATCAGTTTTGTTAGAAATTTTAAAACTGTCAGATATCCGTGTCTATTCTATTGATAAGAGTTTAAATGAAGTCACTCAAACTTGTAAAATGGATATTTATAATTGATTCTGGGATGTTATTAGAAATCATGTAAATGTTCGTTATTTTTGATCAAGTTTCTTAGGTCATACAACACACCAAGACTTATTAACTCATTTCAACAATATTGTTAAAAATTTGGAAATAAAAAAGCTAAACCAAATATCAATGGATAATCCAAATGTCTAAAATCTAAAATTTTTCAGTGAATTCAGTTCAAGTTTGGCTAAAACTATTTTAATTTTTTTTATTAACATCGGAACTCACAGTTTGCATATTGCCTATGGCAGTTTGAAAACTGGAAAGGCTGTCACAGAATGGAATCTGAAAAAAGTTTTGAATACTGCCTATTATATTTTATATGATAGTCCTGCAAAAAGAGACGACTATAACTCTGTTACTGGTTATTTAGTCTATTCTCTTAAATTCTGCTCAACAAGAAAACTACTTCTACTGTACTAGCTCCATTCAAAACATTAATTCGCATACTTAAAACAATCAAGTTTTTACATTTAGTTACTGGCAATTATAGTAAGACAGACAACATTCCTTGTGAAACATCTGACTCACTGACTGGTACAAAAGTGTTAATAAGAGAACCTACAGTATGTGCCATAACTGTCACCATGTTTGAACAAAAAAATATTTAATATTTTTTAATAGAAAAGCTGTGAAGATAATTGAAATTTTAGTTTTATTAATTAAATTTAAGACTTAGTTAACTAAAAATATTGCTTTTTGTTAAATTTAGAAGGTATTGAGTTTTTTTTTTAATTTTTATGTGAAAAGCTAATGGTGACAATTTTGTCGCGAATGAAAGCAAATAATATTTGTCCACAGTTATTTAGGCATACGACATAAATTAATACCCTTATGACTAAAATGATTGAGTTATCAACTTTTCACAGATTTTTAACGATTAAATATCATTTAAAGTTTGATTTTGTTTACAAAACATAAAAAAAGTATTGTTATTATCATCACAAGGAAAATAGATCTTGAACTAGAAAAAAATATTGTGGAAAGGCTTAAATCCAGACAATCTTATCGTTAAATCGCTGCTGAGTACGGAAAGTCTCATAATCTCATATATAAAATTAAATTGCGCAATAATTTAGAAGTAAATAAGCCTAAAAGTGGTCGAAAGAAAATTTTTAAACTATAGACCAAAGAACAATCGCTCATTTAATTGCTTTTGGGGGGTCTAAAATTGCAAAGGATGTTACTAGTTTAATGAATAACAGCTATGAGACTCATGCTTCAGTGTGACAGTCAATAGAGAGCTCAAAAGAATTGGTTTTGGATCCAGAAGGAAGATCAAGGAGCCATTGTTAGTTTCTTGTCATCGCCAAGCTCGTTTAAATTATGCTAAACTTCATGCACACATGACTTTGGATGACTTTTATGACTGGATTTGGACAGATGAAAGTAAAACTAATATGTTTGGATCAGATGGTATAAGATATACTTGGAGAAAGCCTAATTCACCATTAAATGCTTGAGATTTTACACTAACTATTAAATAGGGTGGAGGAAAACTCTTGTTTTAAGGATGTTTCTGTGCTCGTGGAGTCGTTGAATTAGTAAAAATTAATGGAATAATGAACGCTGATAACTATATCAACATCCTTAAGGTCGGATATTTCAAGTCCCTTCGAAAATGGGGCAGAACTGTACATAACATGATGTTCATGCAAGACAACAACCCCGAGCATAATGCTGATAAGATCATTAAATTCTTTCACGAAAAGAAATTGAAAGTCGTTGACTGGGCAGCACAAAGCCCTGGTCTTAACCCACTCAAAAATTTATGAGCAATAGTTAAACAACGGGTCTACAACTTTCCTACTCCACCTAAGAATAAGGATGAACTTTGGGCTTGTGTACAAGAGGTTTGGTACTCAATTACGCCTGAAAAATGCCGCAAATTGGTTGCTAGTGCTCCTGAATGAATTCAGGCTGTAATTAAATCTAAGGGAGAGTACACTCGATATTAATTTACTACAATATGTTATTTACTTTCATTTGCAACAAAATTGTCACTATAAGCTCTTCACATAAAAATTTAAAAAAAAAGTTCAAAATCCTCTAAATTTAATAAAAAGCAATATTTTCAGTTAGTTTAGTCTTAAATTTAATTAATAAAAATAAAATTTCATTTTTCTTTACAGCTTTTTTAATTGAAAAAATATAAAATATTTCTTTGTTCAAACATGATGACAATTTTGACACATACTGTATATGACTAGATATGATTTAAAATGTTTCTAAATGGCATTTGGTTTGTATTTTAAATGGGTTGAAAACAAAAAGGTGGTTAACAGGTTGATTAAAGTGCGGAAAAGTTTGAAAAATTTATTTTCTTTCTGGAATACTTTACCTAAATCCAAACAAGCAAAATGTAAAAGCTCTGAGACATTAAAAAAGGCACTTCAAGATCACTTAATGCTTTTCCTAAGTTACAATTCTTTGCTTATATTGCAAATATTGTTGAACTTTTTCTGACCAAATACCAAACAGACTTTCCAATTATTCCATTTTTATACTTTGATGTAAAGGAAATATAAATAAAGTTGCTTGAAGTTATTGCAAAACCAGATGACCTTGAAAAATGCAGAAGCTGGAAAATGTTGAAAAATCTAGATCTTTCTTTGACTAATAATCTGTTACCTGAGGAAAAGCTTAGCGCAAGATTTTCTGTTTCTGAAGAACCACATCTGAAAAACAATACTTTGATAACATTGTCTCAAAGCAAAGAGTTCTTTAAGGTGGCCAAGAAATTTGTTGTTTCAATGGTGAAAAGCTATTGTCACAAATCTCCATTGAATTATTCATAGATAAGAGCATTTAGTATCTTTGACCCTAATGTCTTGATGGAGTTGACAAAACAAAAATTGGTTGATCGTTTGAAAACTTTACTTGAGTACTTCATGAGTTCAAGGATTTTATCACTACAGCAATGTGACTTTGTGTTATCTAAGTTTAAAGATTTTATGGATAATGAAGTCAAAGCCATAAAGCAAGAATCTTTCAAGTTTATTCATCCAAAGTATCATCTTGGTGATTTTTATTATCATTGTGCTTGTGTCAGCAATTACATTGAGTTGTCTTTTGTCATTAAATTAGTTTTAACACTTAGTCATGGTTAGGCTGCTGTTGAGCGTGGTTTTATCATAAACAACTCTTCTGTTAAAACAAACATGACACCTTCAAGTATTATTTCCCAGAGAATTGTAAAGGACCATTTAATTGCCAATGATTTAAAACCGCACACAGTCCAAATCACAGCACTATTGGTCAAAGCTTTTTGATCAGCCCATCAAAAATATATAATTGAGTTGGAGCTGAAAAAGAGAAAGAGAAAATAGAGCAAGTGATGCATATCACTGCTGAAAAATTAAATCAAAAAGTTAAGGTTGAAAAAAAAAGCTATTTTGATGATGGAAAACAAGATTACAGAGTGTATAGAACTTGAAGAGAAAAAAAGTGACCTAAGTTATGTTACGAAGGGAATTGGATTTAAAAAAAAAGTTTTGTAACTAAACAAGAGGTTGAGTTTATAGAAAAACAAATTGAAGAACTTTAAAATAAGGAAAAAAAATTGTTAAGTTAATTTTTATTAACAAATGACTGCCTTATTTAATTTCAGTATATCTTGTTGTTATTATTATCTTAAGTTGTTTCTTCTTTAAAGTTTTCTGGTTTTGTGATTTATTAAGAAATTTTGCAATTTATTAATTTTAACTAATATAAAATTTTTTTTTAATGGATTGTGCCTTTCCCAAAAGTTTTTTTTTATAAATATTTTAAATAGTTATTTATTAGTTGTCATGAATATTTTGTTTTTTTTTATAGCTTTTTTCAAGTTATTTGCTTAAAATTGTGCCTCAGTCATTGTTACAACTGACTCTTTAGAGTTTAACTATGTTTAATTTGTTTTCATAATTCTGAAAATTGTTAAATTTAAAAAAAAAATGTGTTATGAAAGTCGATTTTTTTGTTTTCTTTTTTTCCTTATATATTATTCTCAATGGTGTTGAAAATAGTATTCATGTTGTTAGTGCTTTTTTAATTTATTACATTTTTTTTTTTTTTTGGTTAAGTTGTACTACACAAATTTATGTAGTATTTAGTATTTAGTTTTAGATTACATACTTTATGTTTATAATTACAGTCTTAAAGACACTTTTTGTATCACTTCGGAAATATCATGAGTGCTGGAATTTAAGTGCTTTTTCAATACTGATGCTGGGAAAAGATAAGGGTTTTAGGACCAAAATCCTGGAAAAACGTATCTAAATGAAGTAATAAGTGCTGGTGTTTTTTTAAATTTTAAGTGGACAACCTGTAAAACCATTCACATAACTAAAAAATTTGATAACAACACATATAATAATTTCAGTGGAAATTTCACACTAAAGTTAATTTTGCATAACCTACCAAAAAATGGGGTGACTTTGGCCCAGTTTTTAAACGTCTAAGGCTTAAAAAACTTGTTCAACTCAAAGAAATAAGATTTGATAAATGAATCAAAATACATTTTGCATGGTACTAGTAAATCTTTATCTATTTGGGGTATAGTTGAAAGAACAGATGTTATTGACCTCAGGCAGAAATTTAGGTTTTACATGAATGGTCAAAGATGACTATTCCAGCTGAAACACTAAGCTGTTTTGTTTTTGTTTTTAGCTTTTTTCAAATTTGTTTTTGCCTTCCATTAGAGTTTTCTTTAATATAATAACTAGAAACTTAGTAAGCCTACAAGAAATTCTTTATTTTAAATAGTTATTTGTTAGCTGCCATGAATATTTTGTTTTTGTTTTTAGCTTTTTGTTATTTGCTTAAATTTGTGGTTCAGTTATTGTTATGACTGACTCTTCAGAGTTTCATTAAGTTTAAATTGTTTTTTTAATTCTGAAATTTGTTAAATTAAAAAATTTGTTATTTAAGTCCTTGCTTTTGTTGTCTTTTTTTCTGAATATATTATTCTTAATGGTGTTAAGTGTAGTATTTATAGTGTTAATGCATTTTTAATTTATTACAGTTTTTTTCAATTAAGTTGTAGTACACAAATTTATGTAGTATTTAGTAATTAGTTTTAAATTGCATTTATGTTTATAAGTACAGTGGTTGTCTTTAAAGGGATCCCAAACCTCTGTGACATGTTGTGTTCATATTAAAGAGAATGATAAAAAAAAAATTGTTTGGGATGATTTTTTTTGATTAAAACAAAAAAATAAATGAATACCTAGAAAAATTAACTTTTTTATTTTAGTCAAAGCTCGCCTTCTCCGTTTTATTGTAGGCCTAAAAGTCAGCATAATATACGCCTCATTCTACAGATTTCATAATTTATTCAAGCGTGTTTTATTCCTAAGAGTTTCAGTACATGACATTATTGATTTTTTTTGTTCGTGTAGGAGATTGATTATGTAAACAAACAAAAAAGTCAATGACGTCATGTTCTAAAATTCTTCGGAATAAAACGCACTTAAATAAATTATCAATTTTGTAGATTGCGGCGTATATTATGCTGACTTTTAGGTCTACAATAAAACAGAGGAGGCGAGCTTCAACTAAAATAAAAAAGTTAGTTTTTTTTGATATTCATTTATTCTTTTGTTTTAATCAAAAAAATTTAGCCTAAACATTTTATTTTAACATTCTCTTTAATATGAACACAACATGTCTCGGAGGTTTGGGATCCCTTAAAGACAATTTTTGTATCACTTCAGAAATATCATTAGTGCTGGAATTTCAGTGCTTTTTTAATACTGATGCTGGAAAAAAATATGGGTTTCAAGACCAAAATCTTGGAAAAACATTTCTAAATAAAGTAATAAGTGCTGGAATTTTTTTTAAATTTTGAGTGGACACCCTGTATATATAAGTTTTTTTTTTTTCTGAAAAATATCCAGGCTATTTTGGAAAATTTCGAACATTCTTTATTTCAATTTCAGGCTACAATTGTGAGGAACCAAAAAGACACTGCACACACCAAAGCTGAGAGAAACATTTTAGAAGCAATAAAAGTAAAACAAAAAATATATTAAACATAATATTAATTTTAAACATAATTATACTAATTAGTATAATTATAATTATTAATTCTATCAAATCTGTTGTTAGAAATGTTAGAAAAAGATGTTTATATAATTTTGTTTAGTTTCCATTTATTGTGGATTTGTTGTATGCTTTCCAAACTGGTGGAAAGTTGTATTTGATTTTAGAATATTTAATGGGTATGTATGTATAGACTAAATAATAGTTTTTGTGTTTGTATAAGTGTCAACATAACACTTTAATTTAGCAACTGCTATTCTGTAAAATGTTATTTCATTTTAAATCAACACTGTAAAATAGTTTATTACTTTAGGCGGAGAGTTATTTATGCATCTTGATCGAGAAGGTGTTTTTTTAGAAGATACTGCTAGGTAAAAAAATTTATGTAAAAAAACACAAAAAATAAAAAAATTATAAAATAAACATGGTCAAGTAAATGAACCCAATAAAAGTTGATATTTTTTATTTTTTACTTTTAGGAAAAATAAACCTAGATTAACCCAGTTGTATTTTTTTTTTAATTTAATGTTTGCATGGTCTTAAGCTTACTCTAATTAAAACTTGTTTAATGAATCAAATTTGAATCATTTATTAATTTAACTGTGAAATTATAGTTTTTGTTGAAGTTCAATTGACTAAAATGTCTTAATGGACTTAACTTGTAACTTTTTGTATTTATATATATTTTTTTTTATATAGATAAGAAATCTACTTAAAAGTTGTACTTAGGTGTTCAACAGTTGGGCTAGTTTGCAATAATATGGAAAATAATTTAAACAATGTTTCTTGAAATAATGAAGTGTTTTGCAATGCTTCCAATTTTTTTTTTTTTAAATAAGCCAATTAAACTTTTTAAAAACTAAATGCTGTTTATGACAAAATATTTTTTTAAATTTATAACTTATAACAAATATAGTTAAAACAAATAGTTCAGAAGAAAAAAATTGGTTTTTAGTTTTAGATTAATTTATATATATATATATATATATATATATATATATATATATATATATATATATATATATATATATATATATATATATATATATATATATATATATATATATATATATATATATATATAAATATATGTATATACAGTATTATGAAAAAGTTAAGAACCACCAAAAAAAAAATCATAATTTATTTTTATTTTTAAATTTTTATTTAGTCGAATATAATTTTCTGGTAGAAAAATAATAGTAATAAATTTTAGGAAATAGAAAAAACAAAATAAAAAATAATAATAACAGTTAGACTTTTAAACAAATAAAAATAATGTATCTAAAGTTTTGTAGGTAATTTTTATTTTTAAAAAATTGTGAAAAAGTTAAGAACCACAGAACAAAAACCGGTAATTTTTACCTAATACCGCGTAATTCTACCATGAATTTTTAAGCACTTATTTATACGATTTGGCATTGAGTCTATTTAATTCTCTAAAATATGTTTGGGAATATTTCTAAGTATTTTTGGTAAAATATTGCGCAACTCCTCAAGGCTCCTTGGTGCTTTCTTGGCAATCTGTTTATCAAGCCAACTCCAAAGATTTTCAATACAATTTAGATCTGGACTATTTGGTGGCCAAGTTAGACGCTCAATATTTTTGTCTTCGAACCATTCAGAGACAATTTTAGCCCAGTGGCATGGTGCATTATCTTGCTGAAAAATGAACGAAACGCTTTGCTCAAGTGCATCAATTGATGGTAAAAAGTTATTATTTAAAATATCGACATAATAAATAGAGTTGAGTCGACCATCAAATAATTTAAACATACCAAGACCATAATATGTCATGCAGCACCATATTCCGACCGACCCGCTACCTTGTTTTGTTCTTTGAACGGTACAATCAAGATTATATTTTTCAGAAGGCTGCCTGCGAATCATAATTCGGTATTTTCGGTTATTAACCTCGATATTTATCTCATCACTGAACATTACTGTCCTCCTTTTTTTTTTTAGACCATTCTTTGACACTTTGGCAAAATTCTTTTTGCTTTTTTATGTTGTTTGTTAAGACTTGGTTTTAGAGCAGCTTTTTTCCATAGCATATTGTTAGCTATTAGTTTCCTACGCACAAGTGATGCCGATGCTTGACATCCATTTGAAAGCTTCCATTCCCTTTTTAATTCATGCGACGACATAGTTCAATTTTTCTTTGCCAACCTGATTAAAAGACAATCATCATTGGGTGTCGTCAAACGCGGTCTTCCAGAACGATGGCGATCAACGTAAGATTTTGTCTCTCTGAATCTTTTAATGATTGTTAGCACTGAACTATGTGATCGTTTTATTATTCTTCCAATTTCACGAGCGGTTTTACCTTCCTGGTGATAATGCATAACTTTTACACAATCTTCATAGGTAATAGCTTTTCTGCTCATTTTTTCAAAAAAAAGTTTTTTTTTGTTTAAAAATTAATACTTTTTTTTAATACTTTTGGTTTTTTGGTAATGACTCAGGTCATTAATAAAATATATAATTAAAAAAGGTAAAAATCAATTAAAAAAAGCTGTTTCCACCGGATTTAGCACTTGTGAAAAAGTTAAGATTCCTTGTATTTCTTAACTTTTTCACAAAAAAAATATTGAAAAAAATTAATACATAATATTTAATCCTTATTTTTATAGGTTCTATTAATTAATTTTCGAAAAAAAAAAATTTTTTTTCTTATGTTCTATTTAATGTGTGGAAAAAAAAAGACTATTTTGTTATTTTTAGAAGAAAAATTAATTAATTTTATTTGAAAATAATTTTTTTTTCTTTAGTGGTTCTTAACTTTTTCACAACACTGTTTATATATATATATATATATATATATATATATATATATATATATATATATATATATATATATATATATATATATATATATATATATATATATATACTTGGCTTTAACTTTACAGTTCAGTTTATAGAAGTTCAGTTTAGTCTTTCAATGCAATTTTTGAACTTATTTAAATTTATATGAATTTAAAATGTAAGCTAACTTATTTTAATTAAACAATTTCATTTTTCAGAAGAAATTAATTTTAGTCTAACTCATAACATAAAATAATTGATTAATCAACTTTTTATTAAATAAAATGGTAATAAATATAAATAAATTAATTCTTTTGAGTTGCAAAAGAATTTGGTTTCTTTGGTTTCAAATGCAGGAAAGTTTTAGTTTAAAGCAAAGTAATATTAAACCTATAAATGTCATCTATTGTTATTCATTATTATAACTATTTTTACTCTATATATATATTGTCCTCTCAGTATTATCTTTTTTTATGTTATCAAGTATTTTATAGTGTTCAATATCAAGTTTTATTTTTTTATAGCCATTTATAGCAGATTTAAAAGTATGTCATTTTGTGTGATTAATATCTTCTGATTTTGATTCCAATTGCCCTGGTCATTAATATGCACTGTTAATCATTCCTCTGTGCAAAAATTATCTATTACAGTCAGCAGCAAATTAAACCTTCGCAGGTCCGATACATTTTTTATTTATGGTCCCTCAACCTAGAGAGCAAAATTGCACTAAAAGACATTTAAAAGTCTAAAAGACGTTTAAAAAAAGCAAAAGAAAAAAAGTTTTACACAATATACAGAGTTTTTACAGCAAAATAAAATTAATTGAATATTAAAGATAAACAACATTTTTTATAATCATTATCTATTAAAAACAGTTATACAATGCACACTACTAAATTACTAACTAAAGCTAACAGACCTTTTAAAATCTGTTACTGTTAAAGGTTCTATATTTTACAGGAAGTTCATGTATTGCTACAAAGGGTAGCCATAAACTTTCTATCTATTTCTGGCATGTAGGGCATCATTTTGTGTAAGTCTTTTTTCTTTTCAACTAAAATTTATAGTTCAATCTTTTTTTACTGAGCTGATGACGAAGGTTTAACTGTAACAGGATTTATTGCATGACTGTGAGCACAAGCAGATATCAGTCAACTGATTTGAATGTTTTCTTTTAAAAGAGATGAACATAGATTGATGTGCATATAATAAATTTGCTTAATTTTTTGTTACTTTTGCTTAATTTTAGTTACTTGGCCTAATTTTAGAACTTTAAGAAAATTGTAAAACATTGGGACAGCCTGGATATTTGAAAAATTCTTGTATCTAAAGGATAGTATAAGGTTTAATATAATTAATTTTATCTAAAAGATAGTATAAGGTATAATAGTTATTAACATACGCAATGGACCCAGTGGATTAAATAGCTTCTTTTTCTTTAAACTGTGGTCTATACTACTATGTATTGCATCAACTTCTTGAATGCAGGCATGCCCACTTTCTATAAACTTTTGAGTTCTTAAAAAAGTGCATTAATATTGCTCTACTCATGATACTGTTTTTGTTCTGTGGAAACACTAATCGGGCTACAGAACCATGTTTTTTTATCTGAGGATGCAACTCCAAGATGGGTTCTATAATTGTCAATACCAGGTCCGCCAGACTGGCCTTCTGACCAGACACAAGAGTAAACTGATTAGTCTATGAAGAGATGTGCTGTCATGTCAAAAACAGAGAGGTCTCTTTAAAAAATTTTCAGTCTTCGGGAGAGTTGAAACTTTTTGTAAATCAAAAGAAAGAACGGGACATCCTGACTCTCTTTGTTTTGCTCATTGCGAGCATCTTCTTTAAGGTCAAAGTGTTTGAAAAATTTTTGTTTCCTAGCAGCTAGTGTATTGGTAAGCTAAGTTATGTTACCTAGAATCACTCATTACTGTATCGCTATAAGAATAGCTAAACTTGGCATTTCTCCTGTCATTAAAACTTAATTAAAGTTAAAACTTAAGCATCACCTACTTCAGAATACTGGAATCAGCATTAAAAGAATCACAATATTCAGAATCATTGCTAGAAAAATAGTTAAATAATACTGATTTCATATGAAGATTGTTAGACCGAGGATTATAGATTATTAATACCATAAAATAATTAAAATTAATCAAAAGTTAACAAAATATATTCACTTAGTTATTCTAGATAGAAAGACATGAGACCTAGAAAAGTTCATTGTTGTTTAAGTTCATCATTGTTAACATATTTTTAACAAATTACTAAACTAGAATCAAATTTTGTGGCTAAAACAAAATATCAAGTCTTTATTCACTTACAACTAAAGATCTGGTTAGTCAATCATCATTTTCCATTAGAATCATTATCCGCAGAAAAGACATTCACGAGCGGCTATTTTTATCAACTAGGAATAAGTCCTGTTATTTAAAAGCTAATTGTTTTGGTCACTAGTTAAAACAGTATAACATTAAAAGGTTTTTTAAAATGACAGAGAACGTGATTAAATTGATTAAATGCACTATCTTTTAGTTAAAACAATTACAAATTTAAACACTTTAGAGGAAGTAGATAATATAAAAGTAGATGGTATAGAATTAAGTATATAAGTGGAGTTAGAACATTTTGTCTTTTATAATAAAACAAGGTTTTTGCAAAAAAAGATGGTTAATAATTTTTCAAAAAAAGAAAAAAAGGGGGATGTCTAATAATTTTTGAAAAAAAGAGGAATGTTTAATAATTTTCCAAAAAAAATAAGGGAGATGTTTTAAAAAAAAATTTCCACCAACTTTTTTTTTTCTTAAAATACTAATATGTATAGATGTTAAATTGTTAATATGTATTGATGTTAAATTATTAATATGTATAGATGTTGTCTATAGAAGTTTGTTATCTTACTTTTTACTTTTAGTTTTTATTTGGCTGAAATCACTCTTGCACTTGAACATCTTCATAGTGAAGGAATTATTTATAGGTTTCTTATATATACATTTTTTTATTTACTTTAATATTATAATTTTAAGCTTAAAAAAGTACTGTACCCAATATTCTTTGGGTACAGTACTTAGGTTTTAAATATCGTATGTATAATTAGGGCTGTGAAAATCTAAATCAATACTTTAGTGTTATTGCCTTTTTGTGTGTGTGTGTGTGTGTGCATGTATCTGTTTTCTAGTAGTATCTGAAGTTAGTGTACAAAACATATTATTTATGTTTTAGTTTAATGTGACACATTAATATTCTTTAACAAAGGTTAAAATTCATAAAATTTAAAGGCTGTTAAAGGAATTTAACCCCCTCTCATAGAAAATCATTATATAATTCTGAGAATATATTATATTTACAAGTAAATGCATAACAATTTAGCTTAGTGTTGACAAATTTTATTTTGTTATCTTATTATTAATTATAAATTTTTCTTTAAGAGACTTAAAACCTGAGAATATACTACTTGATATGAAAGGTCATATCAAACTCACTGATTTTGGATTATGTAAAGAATCAATATATGATGCTGACATGACTCATACATTTTGTGGAACTATTGAATATATGTAAGTCAAATTTTTTAATGTTTGGTTTATTTATTATTTTTTGAATTAATTTGAAGCCACTTTGAAATGTAATGCTCCATGGTAAAATTTAGGCTTTAATGTTTACTGATTGGCATCATTTTTTTTAAATATTATTGTTCTAAATATGAATATAAAGTACTTTAATTAATTTTTTAAGTATAAAACCTGATTTTGTTATAAAGAATCCCTAATCACGCAACACATGTGACATAAGTTTAAGTTTCTTAGAGTTTGTTTCTGCAAAGTCAATTAACTATTGCCCTTTTTTTTCAAGTTGACAATTTTAAAGAATTAAAAACTATTTAAACTAAAATATTTAAAACTTTTAAAATAATTAAACTAATTATTATACTAATCTTCGTTTTAAATTGACAAAAACTGGACTAGAAGGTTTTTTATTTATTAAAAATGTCTTTATTGTTTTTCTTAAATTGCTTTATAATGTTTTTATTAATTTACCTTATCATTATCATTATTGTTTTTTTACATGTTTAAGTTTACAATTATCGATTGAGTTATTTACTAAATGAGTGTACAAACATTGATTTATTTAAGTGAGTGTACAAACATTGATTTATTTAAGTGAGTGTACAAACATTGATTTATTTAAGTGTATGTACAAATATTGATTTATTTAAGTGCGTGTACAATACATTGATTTATTTAAGTGCGTGTACAAACATTGATTTATTTAAGTGAGTGTACAAATATTGATTTATTTAAGTGAGTTTACAAACATTGATTTATTTAAGTGCATGTACAAACATTGATTTATTTAAATGAGTGTACAAATATTGATTTATTTAACTGTGTGACTTCAGTATTCTATTATTTTTTTACTTAAAGAAGTAGTGATTTAAAGGTGGGGACAGTAGATGCAGTGACAGTAGTTTAGTGATGTAGCAGTTGCATTGTTATAGTAGTAGTAGCCTAGCAACAGTGGTGTAGAAATGATGTAGCTATAGTAGTAGTAGCCTAGCAACAGTGGTGTAGAAATGATTTAGCTATAGTAGTAGTAGACTAGCAACAGTGGTGTAGAAATAATGTAGCTAACAGTAACAGTAGTGTAGAAATGATTTATAGTGGTAGTAGTGTAGCAGTTTTTTTTTTGTGTGTGTGTGAAAAAGACAGCACTAAAGTTTTTTTTTAATTTTTCATTTCAAAAATTAAAGTAGAATAAATTTTTAGTGTGCCAACCTCAATACACAGTAGCAGATAAATCTTTTAAACCTAACAGCCTACTGTACACCAAGTATTGTTGTACAGTAGGCTGTTGTTGTAACTTTACGACATGAATGAAACTTACGAATTGAATTTAAAACATTGCAAAGTTACTTAAAACACCATACACAATTTAAAATTGAATTCATAAAATTTGTTTTTAGGGCACCTGAAATTCTCACACGCCACGGTCATGGAAAAGCTGTTGACTGGTGGAGTTTAGGAACACTTTTATATGACATGTTAACTGGAGCAGTAAGTTTATTTATTTATTTTTTTTTAACTGATAAGGTTTGCTTTCTTTGAAAATAAACCTCATCACTTAAATACTCTTTGGGTTTTTTATAGTTTAGCTATTGTTTTTTTCAATTAGTAACTTTTTATTCTTTATACCATTTAATTCAATCATCTATTTATTATAGCCTCCATTTAGTTCAGATAATAGAAAAAGAACAATAGACAAAGTAAGTTTGATCTTAATTATATAATTTGCAATTTAATATAATTTTCAACTATTAATAATATACAATTAATAAGCGCATTTTAATTAATTTGTATGCAGTATTACCAGGGACTTAGCAATCTTTGATCTTTATATCCTAGTAAGACTCTTACTGTTGCAGCAAAAAAAAGTATTACTGTTGTAAATTTAAAAAAAAAATTGTTTGCATTATTGAATTATAATCCATTTATTATTTAGATATTAAAAGGCAAACTAGTTCTACCTCCATATTTAACAACTGAATCCAGAGATTTGCTTAGAAAGGTTATATTATTATTAAAGAAATTTAATTTATTTATATATATATATATATATATATATATATATATATATATATATATATATATATATATATATATATATATATATATATTAATTACTAACTTTTTTTATTTTACTATTATTCGTCAATGCATTAAAAAAAAATTGTTTTATTCTCTATATTGTAATGCAATACTGGACCCTTTTTATGTGCAAATGTATGTTTTAAAATGTTCTTTATGATAAACAATCCAGAAAAGTTTTTTTTTTTTCTAAAACAAAGGTTTAGTTATAAAACCACTAATAATCTGATAATCATATAAAAATATAAAAAAGCCTTCAAATTTTAAAAAACTTTTATTAAAAAATCATATCTGATGATATAGGTGAAATCAACCAATTAAAATACATAATTTCTATAAAGTGCTTACACACTTTTTTGCATAATAAAATAAATTACAATCAAAATTATAATTGTTTATATTAGTGTGCACAATATTTAATTTATAAAAAGTTCATCTATTATACAAAATACAATAAATAGAAAATTTCTATTCAGCTGTTAAAACGTCATCCTCAAAGTCGACTTGGAGGAGGGGCTGATGATGCAATACCTTTAAAAGTATGCTTTGTATTTTTTAAATTTTTTATAAAAATAATTTGTGGTATTTAAATTAGTCATATTACTTTATTATAAGCTTAGATTATAATGATATAAGTTTTTATTATTGTTTTTTTAGGAACATCCATTTTTCAGACATATTAATTGGGCAGACCTTTATGCAAGAAAAGTTGAACCACCTTTTAAACCATCCGTGGTAATTTTAAAAATTAAATAAAGTTTTTTTTTTCAGAAAATGGTAATAAAGTTTTTTCAATATGATGAACTTCAAATATTTTTTAGACAAGTGAAGAAGATGTCAGTCAATTCGATCAACGTTTTACCAAAGAAACTCCGGTTGATTCACCGTGCGACAATTTGCTTAGTGAAAGTGTTGACAGAATATTTCAAGTAAAAAAATATTTTTTTAAAAAAAATAAAGTTGAATTTCTCAAAATAAAATATAAAAATATTGAATACATAATTAGGGATTTACATATGTTGCACCTTCTGTACTCGAATCATTACAGCGAAAAGACTCTAATAGTTATTCAAGATCATATAGGTTGGTTTAAATTTTTTTTTTAATTTGTAAGTTTTAATTTTGTTTTTGTTTATTGTTAATTCAAAGTTTATTTTTTACAGGGCAGCACGTAGAATTAGAGAACATTCAAATCCTCAAAGGTAAATAAAATGATAGTTAATACCATTTAAAATGTTTTATTATCTTTAATGAAACTGATTAAAGAATAAAAAAAAGTAAAAAGGGGCTAAGGGGCTTATTACATAAGTGACCTTTGGCCCAGACTAAGATTCAGCCTGCTTACCTAGACTGAAATTACGCCCTGTCTGGTTATTCTAATTCTAATTACAAATTAAATTTTACAATTATATGATAAGCGGATTGAATTTTCTCACCAGGATAAATATCCTAGCCTGTTTTATGAAACCGAGCTAGAATTTTCCTCCATGGCAGATTTCATTTGTTGTAAAATTAAAATTGGCTGCAGTGAAATTTATTAGCAAAACAAAAAATAAAGAATGCACAGAATTTTGATTTCATTGGGATAGGGATGACAAAATTTCAAACTTAAAACAGAGTTTGACAAATTTTAAATCACAAATGGAATATAATAACAAGGGTTTCAATGCTGACAAACCAAACCATTAAAAAATTTTATTTAGCTAACGTTTGCTTTTATCAGCAAAGTTGGTTTGGGCCTGTTAGTCCAAATGAAAATATTTTATCCGAACAAAAAAAAAAATTGATATATCTTTAAAAGTGGTTATACCAGAGTATCTGTTGAAAATTATTTTTTAACTAAAAAAAAAAGAATAAAAATGAAAACGAAATTATTCCAAAATTTGACAATAAGCAACGACACATATCAAGACAATCGAGCGCATCACAAAGAGATAGAATTTTTGTAAATGAAGCTAAAGAAAATGCCCATTTTTAAAAGAGATATTGCAGAAGCCATATGACATTTAAATGAAGCGTTCTAAGAATCAATGGACCGCATATCAGAATTTTACAGGTTGCCCAGGGACTTTCAAGATCAATGGAATGGTTAATGCAAGAAATGAAAACAAATGAATAAAAATTTAGCTTTATCATAAGAGGAGTACTTGATATGCTAGCTTTGTTTCTTGTGATATTATTTGTGATTTTATATCTTTGTTTCTTGTGATACACTCTAGCTTGTTTTAGTTATGTATTTTTTAAATATATTTTGTTTTACTTTCTAGTCAACAATTTTTTTTTTAAACTTTAGCAAAAAAAAAAATTTTTTGTAAAATTTTGATTTTTCTGTTATTAGTAACAGTTACTTAAAATTAGTCTTTTCATAGATATGTTTTTAGTTCCATAATAATTTTTCCTTTATATACTTTGTAATTGCTTTCCATATATATTTACCATCAGGGTTATTAGCAGAGTAAATATTGTCTGGGTGGTTTGGTCTCTTCAATGCATCATTGCAATGTCTTTCAATTTGTTACTCTATCTCTTCTCCATTTAAGTCATAGGTTTTTTTATATTTATTTGCAAAAGTTATAAAGAATAAGTATGCATTCAACATCATTAAAGTATCCTTTAATTTCACATACTGCTTGTAATGAAAAATGTTGTTTATAACAAAAATAGTTTTGAGCATTTTTAATAGGACATTTTAGTTGGAAATGAGTTCCATTAATTCATTCAAAGGCTTTTATCATACTAAACTTTAAACCGAGAAGCTAATTTTATCATATCCTCCTTATTTTTACATAGATGTAAGTATTTAGACCCAACAATATTATTAATGGCATCACACACAATTTTTTACAGTTTTTAAAACAGTACATTGTTGAATGCCAGCAATATTTGCTGTCATCCAAAAATATTTGCTATCATCCAAAAATATTTGCTGTCATCCAAAAATTCTTGCTGTCATCCAAAAAGTGTCTTTAAAGTAATATATTGCTAGTTTTTTGTGTGTAGTTAAAAAAAAATAATTTGGCCAATAACAATACAACAGTATCTATAATAGAAGCTAGCTCGAAAAAATACTCCTTTGTCATTCAGTAATTTCTTTTCCAGCATATTTGAGGGACTAATTTACCACCGTCAATCGGTCTGTGTCTTGCAAATTTTTTTCCTATATTACAAGTTGTTTTTTTGTGTGCATATCTATGCACACAAAAAACATACGCAGCAAGTGCTAAATTTCGTTTGTTTTCTAATAATTTGTATGCAATTACTAAACTATTGAATTGCAATGTGCTGTGAATAGACTGCACTGTCGAATTATTTGCACTAGTTGTAAATTATTTATATGAATAGACATGTTGCATTAACTTTTTCCTCCCGGCCAGGTTGAAATTTAAAACAAGAAATTGAAGCCAAGATGTAGTTAAAAGATTTTTTCCAACCAGGAATTGGACTGAAATTTTAACCCGGGTTGTTTTCACTTATGTAATCAGCCTCTAAGTCTGGTGAATATGGCGTGTGAGGTAATATCTCCTAGCAATATTCCAATAATTTTTCCTGAGTTGATTTTGCAACATGTGTTTAAACATTGTTATAGAGACAGCAAATTTTGTATGCTCTAGACAATTATTAGATAACTTTTTTCTTAAACTTTTTTCTTTGACCACAACAGACTTCTGAAGTGACATCTGTTATGGTAGGAAGTGATTTCTGATATGAAATATTGGGAATTTCTTCCTACCAATACAACTATGTAAGTTTCCCCACACTGAAATCATTATCTTTTTTAGATTAAGTTTAGATTCAGTTTTAGCTTTTGATTAGGGCTGTGTCATTGGAACTTTTTGGTGTGAAATAAATAACCAACTTCTCATTATCTTTAATTACATTGTCAAGCCAGCTTATTCTATGCTTTTCAGGTAGCAAAAATATCTAAACATATGTCTAAATGCTGGTTTTAATGATTTAGAGTCAAATCATGAGAAACTCAAACACCTTGTTTTTAGTGATAACCAAACTTATTCAGATAAAATAAAATAATGTGAGCAGAGTTCTGTTTGCTGTGGGTTGCTCTAAATAGACCTTTTTAGTTGGCAAAAATCCAACTCTATGAGGTGTCTAGACCCTATGAGGTTTTCTTCCAACAGCTGTTTTGATTGTAATAGTTGAATTAATTTGTTGTAATAAAGAGACCTAATCTATTACATCACTTATATTTTAAGCAGTTAGCTTTCCAATAGCAGTATGGTCTATTAGGTATTCATATAGCAGACAATGTCTTATATGTTTTTTGGATTTTTTTATTTTTTAATCATCTAAAAGTGTTATATATAAACTAGTGTGAGAATAATTTTTGTCCAATATATTGTAATTATATTGTAAATTGTTTATTGTAATATTGTATTGTAATATTGTAAATTGTAAATGTATTGTAAATTGTTTAACCTGTAAATTACCGCATCATGTAAAACACTTGTAACCTGTCACCTGGTCTTTGCAGCTGTTGACTGTTTTTTGACTCTTGGTTGCCTATTGGGGGTCTATTGGCTGCTTTCTGCACAGTACTGTCATTTTAGAACTATCCTCTGCATGATGCAGTCTTTTTTCAAGCATTTTCCAGTATTTTTTCCTCTCAATCATGTTTTTCATTTAAACCAATCAAAAATAATAATTTTCAAGTTTTTAATTTGTTTTTAAATTATTTACATTTCATTTTCAGTTAATTATTTGGTATCAATTTAAATTTTTACAATTTTTATTAACAAATGTTATTAATTATTATTGTTATTGGTTATTTTGTTATAATATTTTAATTCGTTATTATTATTTTTATTTATTATTATTTATAATCATTATTATTATTATTATTATTATTATTATTATTATTATTGTTAACTCATTTAATAACAGTTGTGTTTGTTGATTCATTAATTTTATTGCTTTTATTTCTATAAATTTAATTTTTTGACAGCAACTTTTAATGGGAAATGTTTTTTATAACTTGTTCTCGTAGAGGACTTGGAGGAAATAACTTGTTTTTTTCCTTCTCTCACTTTTTTAATCAACTAGACATATTTGTAATACAAATTTTTTGCTATGTATTACTTAATACATTGCACCAAATGTTGTGCATTTCCTACATTAGCATAACAGTTACAAAAGCCTTGGTTGGACTGTTAAATACTAATCTTTTAAAGTTAATTTTAGTTGAACATCTTTTATAATCATTTTAATTAAAAAAATAAATAAAACGAGCTTTATTTACTAGAATATTTTTTAAAATCTTTACTTTTTTTTTTATGTTTTTTTAAATATTTTTGTTAATAAAAATTTTTTTTTTTTTTTTAATAAAAAAGCAAGATTAAATTTAAAATTTTTTAACTATATTAATTTTCTAGTTGAGAATCAATTTGTTTTGACTTTGAGTTTTACAATACTGAAGTAGATGATAATATTTGTATAATATTTTGTAAAACTCAAAAATGGATTTAAGTTGGCTCTCTGGCGCATAACTGTTTTTGCAAATTATATCATTTAAGTACAATTTTCTTTATCTAATACTGAGTTAATTAGTCAAATCACAGCTCTTTTATGTTTTGTTGTAGTCTGATTTGCATTTGTTCAGGTTTTTCAACTAAAAGTTTGTAAATTATTCTATATTTATTGATTTTTTTAAATATCTTTAGTGCTGTTTCTGAAAGCTTATTTCTAAAAATGTTTTTTTGATTGTTTTAAAAATCATTAAATCAATAATCTACTGAGTTTTGGCATCAAATTTATGGGTCAATTTTTTGCTTGCTAGTTTGAATTTTCTTTGAAATCTCGTATGAAAATGATAGTTTGAAATAGAGAATAACCCCAAATAAGTACATTATTTTTGAATAAATATTTTTAAATAAATGTTTCTTAAACATTTTTAAAATACTAGAACTCGAAAATTCAATTAGAATCAAAGGAGGGAGGTAAATTTTAGGCTCTTCTATTACAATAACTACTGGAGAAGTTCCCATATCTGCATATTTGTTGTTGTTGAAAATTGTTTGAAAATTGTTGCTTTATTATTGTGGTGTTGTTATTTTTCATAAAATACTTAAAATATTCATTATATATTCATTAAAATATTCATAATATACATAAAATACACAATATTTTTCTTTCTTAATTGGAAAAGGTATTGTTTTCTTCATCCATATTTCTACAGTAAGGCATTTTCCTTATTGTAAGATGAAGCAAACATTCGGATTTCTAATTAATTTGACCTATTATACGACAGTCTGATTCTTACTGAAGACGGCTTGTACATTTTTTTCTACTAAATTTTTCAACCAGAGTTAAAGCTGTCAAATTAAATCTTTAATATAACTTTAGTTTAAGTAATTTATTTTTCCCTTATAGTCCAACCAAGGTTAAGCGTACTGGTGAAACACATATTGGCTTTAACATACCTACACGTAATTCAACAGTTGATATTGTTACTCAAGAGTGTTGTGAGAGGTCTTCTAACAGTTCAGCTTGGAAAAATGAATTTTTTTTAAACAAGAACTCGGGACATCAAGAAAACAATTCTAATTACTCATGCATGTCTTCATCATCAATATATCCGACATATTCAAATACTTTATGTCATATTTCACCTTCACAGCCCCAAAGACAAGATTCAAGCAGTAATCTTCAAAATGGAGGGTATAAAAATGTACACTATGGTGGGACAAATAGTTACCAAATTCTTAACTATGCGAGTTTTATGCATTCAGATTCCACAAATGTTTCTGGTAATATAAGTTATCAAACTTATTCGACAAATAACGGAGCTGTTAACCAAAGTTTTAATTTAAATTGTAACTATTTTGGGCTGGCGAGCTCTGTTGCTCCTAATTTAGAAGAAGACTTGGAAAACGAATTAGAGCCTTTTGAAATCTTGTCCCACTATGACGCTAATATTTCTCAAGAGTTAACATCAAGATTCAGAATGCCTCTTGTTTAAAGTGATGTTTAAAGGTCATATTACAGAACTCTTCAATTATTTTTATTAAAATTAAAAGCGTTAAAAGCTCGGTTTTACAATATCTGAGTTTTTTAATTTATTTCTTTTCTTTAAAATCTTGGTATACTCTTTAACTTATTTTATATATATATATATATATATATATATATATATATATATATATATATATATATATATATATATATATATACACATATATATATGCACACACACAGTGCTCGAAAGCGGCGAAGACTTGTTAAAAAGTATAGACTCGATTTATTTTTTTCAACATAACAATGGTTAGAGGGATGGTATTTTAAAACAACGGCAAACCCTCATGTTACTTTCTTTTTTGTTACCCACATCGAGCACTTCATAAAAATATCGTGCTTACTATGCAATTTTAAAGATACTTTATTTTTTATTAGATTTTTTTTTTTAAATAAAATTTTGAAATCTGGTTTAAATTTTAAACAAAATTTTTCTGTTTTTCTTCACTGTAACTATTTTTTCTTTTTTTCACTTTTTTACTGTTCCGTAAACATCTAAGTGTTCACATGCGAATAAGTTTTTCGATTTTTAAACATTAGCTGAAAAATTCCAAAGTATATATTTTTTTTCTATTTATAAAATAATTTTTAATAAAAAGAAGAGGTTTATTTATTTATTAAAAGTTAATTTGAAAGTTTTGGAAAATCGAATAATTTTTTTAGAATTGAGGTCACAGATTTTTATGTATGTGTGTGTGTTGATATATATATATATAAATATATATATATATATATATATATATATATATATATATATATATATATATATATATATATATATATATATATATATATATATATATATATATATAAAATGCTTCAATTTTATACAAATTAAAAGAATAATATATGTTGTTATTTATGCGAGTAGCTTAATTTTTCTGCTTGTTTTTGTAGATGAATTGTGAACATATTTTAAGATCATTGTTGTAAACAGGATTTTCCTTTTTAAATTATAGGCCTAGTTTTTATATTTAAGTTATTAGATTTTTCACGCTTAGATGTATTTATTGTAGAAGTTTTAATCAAAATACAGAAATGAAGTTCTACTTTTTCTTTTATTAAACGATTATGTAGAAACTTAATATATATATATATATATATATATATATATATATATATATATATATATATATATATATATATATATATATATATATATATATATATATATATATATATATATATATATATATATATATATATATGTATATATATATAAATACTATTTATATTATATTTACACTCTTTACGTTATTGTATATATTAGAAAATAATTTTCAACTTCTGTTCTCATTTCGCGACTTTTTTTTTTTTTTTGAAGCCTCGGCTATTATTTAGAGATCAATTGTTAGGTATACCGGTGGATTAGTTCTACAGTATGTTATCTTGTATTTTAGTGTGAATTGGAATCAAAGTTAGTAGGACGATCGATTTTTGATATATAAAATTCGTTGTCGAACTATTTGAAGAATTATAAACTCACCCAAAAACATTCTTATATCGGAAATGCTAAAATTCGGATGTAGTTTAACAATTTGTATTTTAATAACTAACTACAAAGTAGTCCATAGAGTAAGTATTTTTTAAATATTGTTGTTTTCATTGCTTTAAATTTTCATCTCAACCGATTCTTTTTTTGCTAAAAAGTATTTTTATCGAATTGGTTATTCACGCCATTGTTAAATTATTTGGTAATCCACTTTAATATAACTAAACAAAACGCTTGTTCTGGAATTGTTAACTTTTTAAACTTAGAGATATTTTATAAAAGGTCGGACTTTTTTTGTGAGGCGTTAAACAGTTTTTCTAAATTCTGAACATTGTTAAAGATGGTAAAGTATTTTTATACTTAAGTAAATAATTTACCAAGCATAGGGAAAATGTTTTGTATCGTTGACGGCGAGATGGAGATTTAAAAGCAATTACGAAATTGGAATTATTTCTGGATTATAATCTTAAATAAAATAAAAAAATATATCTTCAAGAAAAAGTGAGGGTTTTGGAATTTAAAAATATTATCAAGTCTAGTTGCATAGGTCAAGTTGTTAGTGTTAGAGGTTTTATAATCGGATGACAAATTAATAGTATTGATGACGAAATAGAGATTAATTGTTTTACATTACAGATTGAGATATGTTGATCAACATATGAAAAAAAAACAGACTAGAAAAACAAAGACTAGGTCTCATAGTAAGAAACAGGACCTTTAAACTGCGACATACAAGCTTTATGCGAATCTTGGGCTTCAAATGTACAAGTCTCTATACATTTAATAGAATGTGCGGCTCTGTTACACATTTATTTAACAAAACTATTATTCCGTAGTGTAACATTAGTAAACTGAATTTTAGTATTTTGATTTTTTTAAAAAAAGAAACATGGTTTATAAATTAAAAAGTAAGTATTTATATATATGTTGGGTGGAGTTGCTTAAGTCGTACCCCTTTATAAGTTGGGTAGAGTTACTCAAGTCGTACTCTTTACAAAAAAGCAAAGTTAAAATCATTCAAATAAATAAAAACATGTTCAAAACTTATACTGCTATTGCTGTTATTATTGTAATTTATGTTATATTTGGGATACCTAATTGTACTTGTATTGTATTTTCTTAAACGGTCTTTACTTTTTTTTTTTAATAATGGGTTTATTATTATTGTATTGTTAATAGGTTCTCGGCGGTAGGATCTTACAATCCTCTTCAAGTTTCCATGCTTTTATATATTATATATAGTGGCATTTTACCAAAAAATTTTGTTATGCAACACATAACCAAATAAAAGTTACAATGGCAAAATACAAAAAAAAAATTACAATTTCAAAATATAGAACAAGAAAATTAGAAAAATAGGGGAGAGGGGGCACATTAGAACACTTTTTTAAAAAGATATAACAGCTTTCATACTGTTAGACAAAAAGTTAAAATTTTTGCTGAAAAAGATATTATAGCTAGTAATTCTTTAAAAATAAAACCAAACTTGAGCTAGTACAAATAAATTATAGTTGCTTTCTTACCTGAAAAACAGAGCTACTCATTGTCTAAAACTACCCCACAAGAGAGGGTAGATTTGGACATTGTTGGGGCAGTTTAGGAAATATAATAAAAATACAAAAAAATGTTCCTTTGACAAAAATTTCTTTTTTCGATTATTTAAAATCAAAAAATCATTAACAGTAATATATTTTGTAAATATCTCAAAATCATTTAACTTTTTTTGTATATCATACGCAAACAACTAAAATGAAAATCCTAGCCGATCTCCTATCACTCTCAAAAAATGATAAAGAAACAAAGAGTGTAAATGTAAAACAGGTATAGATAAACATGTTTTTTGTGGTCCATGTTAAGGCCGATGAGCGGAATTGATCTAAAGACTACAAACTAGTGTTCTTTAGATACATTATTACAGGTAGTAAAAAGATTTTGAAAATTATATATAAAAAAGAAAAGTTTCTTTAAATATCATAAAAACCTTAAGTAAAAAAAATTATAACATTTAAAGATCTTGTTTGGGCATAATATGTTGACAAAACCATGCTAATTCCAAATAAAAGTATTCAAATATTTTGTAAATCGCCTTAATTACACCATGGAAGTATAAAACAGAAGGAAGTTCATCGAGCCGCAAACATCAAAGCAATTTCAAGTCGTCTCGGGAGTATGCTTGTAACCGACAAAAAAAAAACAAGTTTCACTGGATAATAAAACAACAAAATTCACTGAAATGATCTTTATTAAAACATTAAAAAATGAATTATTCTAGGGATATGTTGCAAATTTTTAACCATTAGTAATTGCAACTATTCAACAAAAGGTTTATTAAAACACGGTAATTAAATAGAACCACTTGATTTTAAAAGCATATGTTAGTTTAAGCTTCTTTTCTTGCTTCAAGTCATAACACGACATTTGATAAAAAAGACAACTAAAACAATTTTTAAAAAATCAAAAAAATTGTTTTCTAAATAACTAAAGTTTAAAGTTTTATTAGCTGTATGTGATAACTCTATTCATTCTTGTAGTGCTCCATTCATTTAATATGAAGTTTATAAAAAAGTTGTTGTTTGCCGTTACGTTGCGCCATTTTTAATGTTTTTCTTGAATATTATTGGCGAACCTTCAAAATACTACATTTTTAAATTATTATAAACGTATCTGTTTGCGTCAACGTATAAAAATTAGGCGTTTAAGTACAGTCTTGATGTCGTTTTCTTATTGTTTACAAAACAAAAGGTTACAAGCATAGTCCCAAAGAATTTCATTGCGGTTGAACTTCCATCTGTTTTATACTTCCATGATTACACCGAGTAGTTAAGGAAAATGTGTTATAAAACTTTTTTGGTGATTTTAATGATTCAAAAGTTTTAAATTTAATCAACAACATAATAACCTAATATGTTCAATTGTTTTACTGCTTTTTTTAGTTTATGATCAACTTTTGGTTTTAAATTTGAGTTTGTTCAATATGTTTTGTCCGATACTTTATTTATTTATTTTTTGTTTTGTTTTGTTTATATTTGACGTAATATATATAAATTACATATTTTTTCAAATACAAACAAGGCTTCTAAAAGAAAATCACAATGATCTTATCGTCAGAAGCCTTTTACAAAAGAGAGTACGTATAGTATTATAAAAACGCCTTTTTACAATTAGAGTACGTAAAAAATCATATAAAAACAATAAATCGTACTTAGATAAATGAAAATGAATGACATGACACTTGAACATACATGACAATAAATTTTTTTTATCACAAGATAAATTAAAAATATTCTAAGTTATTTTTAATAGAAAGAATGAGGTCTTTTAATTTTTTTTTAAAACAGGATAAGTTAGGGGTAAGTCGAAGTTAGGCAAAATAATTTTATTTCACAGATGAGCCGCACGATAAGTGATACAAAATTGATTGAATTTTAGTCGACATAATGGTTCATTTAGATAATTATTATTCTTCATGTTAAACTTGCTTAATGTTTTTAAAATAAAAAGATCTTTAAAAATTAAAGGAGATAAATCATACTTCCACATATAAACAAAAGATAAATTTTTATATACGTTTAGTTTATATATATCGAGGATTTTCTTTTGA